TGGGTCCTCATTTTACCCACCTCGGAAGGATGGAAGGCTGGTCAACCCTGAGCCGGTGAGATTTGAACTGCTGACCTGCTGATCTAGCAGTAGCCTGCAGTGCTGCATTTAACCACTGCGCCACCTTGGCTCTTGATAGAGACAGTGATTGACAGAGGAGTTTGGAAAGTACTGATCCGTTGAATGGCTGAGGGTCAGACACAACTGAATGGCTGCTGCTGCTGCTGACAACAGATAATAATATGGAAGAATGTCCATAGATAAAGAGGAGATACAAATTCTAACTGATGGAGAAATATTGGAAAATAAAGAAATTGTAAGACAGAGGTGACAGAGTGGAAATACGAATGACAAATCAAAAGATGCAAAAGGGCTCAAGCAAGAATTTATTTTGGATTTACAAAAGAGGTTTTCTAAAACCTCAGAAATGTTTGAGATGCAAGAAATAATGTTCACTTTCTAGTCATTTATATCATTTCTCATTTATGCTTTTTTAAACATTACAGTTTAGAAACAATAATCTCACTGAAGCTGCCTGCAGTTACAGTATTGGAGTTTAAGGTGTGCACTTTAGCTCTCCCGTATTGTTGCAGCAGGACTGAGTCCATAATATAGAAGAGTAAAAATTTCAAAATTACTCTCATAGGAGGTTACTCCAAAGAGAGAGAGAGAGAGAGAGATTATATAGAGTATATAAAAATAAGTGCATTTTTACAGATCACAAGATAGATTGTAACTGGCTTTGTAAGATGACTGATGCCCCAGTTTAGAGTTTCAAAAAGAAGATTTTTCAAAGCAAATCATTGTATTCATGCACAGATAAAAAGGCTTAACATTAACTTCGTTAGCAGTACTCAGGCAAAGCAAATTAAAGGATTTTAACCAAGTCCTAAATTACAAACTTCTCTATCCCCATACAAAATAAACTCTAGAAACAGATGCTTCTTCTATTCTACTAATCACCTAGACATTTCCTGCTTCTGGAACCTCACTATAAATAGGGGCTCGAGAAGAATAGCCTCATCTCTTGTCTTTCTGCCCTAGTGTTGACTTTCTTGTTTCTCTCTATTCCCCAAGATATGTACTGCAATCATCCTATACAGAAAGAGATGGTTTGCGGGATTTGACCCCGTACATGACAGAGTCCAGAACACTTCTGAATCCATGTTAATTAAAACTCATAAGTCATGTAATTGTTATTTAACTTGGACAGCTGGGATACCAGGCTTGGAGGCCTGCCTTTCATAGCACAAATGGACTAAAAAGAAAGCTGCTTTTTATATGGAAAACTTGGCTTTATAGCCATAGCAGCTAAATACGTACCCTGATTGGGCACAATATTGTTTAATATTTAAGAGGATACACCAGCTGGGAATTCTAAGATATGCAATCCACACAGATTGCAATACACATCAGCTTCCATCATCATCATCATCATCATCATCATCATCATCATCATCATCATCATCATCATTATATACTTTATTCA